GGAATGTTTAGGAGCTGCAGCAACATTTAATGATGCCATTGCGTTATTAATGAACCTTATTATTATTATTATTGCTATCGTAGTTATTAGTATTATTAGTATCAATACTATCATTATTAGCATTATTATCAATATCATTATTAGCATTACCACTGTTATCATCACTACCCTTATCATGACCACTATTAGCACTCTTCCATCCTCACTGTTATCACTATCCTTAGAATATTCTTTTATATTCTTATCAAAATATACCTCTATTTATCATTATTAGAGAATTTCTATCCTCAATTCTCTCTTTCATTATTAAATTCTCTCTTTCATTATTAAAACGCAAGAGAATTATTAGAAATCCCACCTTTTCTTACCCACTAACCCTCATTTAATACAAATATCTTCTTCAGGATAAATAGTTCCAACAGAATTACTGTATTTCCTTCTATCCCATAGTTTGATAAAATTAACGATATTAAGATTAATAACGACGATTTCTGCTCCCTGACGCCGTCTCCATCACCCGGCAGCGTTTTCCTCACCAGGATTTAAGGGTTTATGTTCTTGGTTCTATTTTTAAGCATCTTCCTCCTCCCGCTTTTCCACCGGAGAAAGGAAATTTGATTTAATTAAGTCATTTTTTCTTAATTCCTGGGAAGACTTTATCGGCCGGAGCAGAGTTTCCTGCCTGGAGCTGGAAGGCTCCGTCCGGAAACCGCTCCGATGCCTTGTTGGGAGGGGGATGAACGGATGCAGGGAGGAGGCTAAAAATACACCCCACCCCCCCCAGCGCCTTGTTTTCCTCTGGAAAAATCCCATTAAACTCTATGAGTCCACAGGGAGGCTCCCGAAATCCTCCAGCACCAGGGATTTTCCCCTAAATCCCAGGTGGCAGCGAGGATTTGGGATCATGGGGTAGCATCATCCTTTCCCCTGCATCCCTTGCATCCCGATCCGGAGCATCCCTGCGGCGCTGGCAGGAGTGGGGCCAGCTGGGGACACAGATCAATGGGATGCAGGGATGGATCAGCCAGGATGCAGGTCCTCGGTGGCATTCCCCTGGGAATATAAACCCAGCTAAACCGCAGCACAAACCCGCCTGAGCCGATTAATTTTCCAGCTGAGCTTTATGGGCAAAGCCAGGGAATAATCTTCCTGCGGGAGCTGAGCATCCTTCTCTGGCCCGTGGTACCCTCTTGTATCCCATTGCTTCTTCCCAGGGGGTTTTGGGGATGCTGGGATGCAGGGGACACAGGGATGGGGTATTTGGGGTGAGATGGGATTGGGGTATCATGGAAACCACCCATGAATAATCCCAATTTAACACTGACAGCCAAAAGAGGGGGTACTGGGATGATGGGGAGAGCTTGAGGGGTGCACATGGATGTGTCCCCCCAAATAAATCCCATGGGATGAAGAATCTGGTGCAGCATCATGGGGGAGGTTGAAAGTACCCCAATACTGATCTAAAGGGGATGTCTGGCCACCGGAGCCCCTTGGGAGCAGCAGCATTCCCATGGGAAGGGGAATCTTCAGCCAGAGGTTTTCCTATCCCAGGTGGTTGGGAAATGGGGATGGGAGGGAATGGCATTGTCCTGCATACTCCAGAGCAGCTGGAAAGCCCTTCCTGTGGCAGGGAAGGAGGAAAATATCCTCCTGGCCCAGCTTCCCAGCGATGCCAGGGATTGTTGGGTTTTCCCTCTGGAACGGGGAGGTTTCTATGGGAAAAGGGCAGCTGGGATGAGTCACATCCCATGTTCTTCCCCTCCCAGGTGTCTCCTCGGCCGTGCTGGAGGTGCACGTGGGGACGGGCTCGGTGTTCTCCGTGGAGGGGCAGCAGGCGGTGCTGCCCGCCTGGTACACCAGCCATTCCCAGAGGAAACCCTACGTCACCTGGCTGCTGGATAAGGAACATGCTGACCCCTTCCAGGTGAGACGGGAGGGGAGGTGGTTGTGGTGGTGGGATGCTCATGGTGTCCATGAAGGGGGGGTGACCATATAGTGCCAGTGTCGAGATAGTTCCCGTGATGGGGTGGAGCTCATGGTGCCCACCATGAGGTGGTGCCCATAATGGGAGGGGACGTTTGTGATGCCCATGATGGGGGGTAAATTCACAGTGCCCAAATTGGGGAGGTGCCCCTGCTGGGAGACGCTTGTGTTGGCCATGATGGGGAGATGCCCACCATGATGAGGTATCTATGGTGGGTTGATGCCCATGATTAGGACATGCCCATGGTACCTGCAGTGGGGAGCTGCTTGTGGTACCCACAGTGGGGAAATGCTTGTGGGCACCATGAGGGTGGTCACCATTACGTGCCTGCAATGGGGAGGTGTTTGCAATGGGGAGATGCTCGTGGTGCCCATAACGGGGTGAAGCTCATAGTGCCAACCACGTGTGGTGCCCATGAAGGGGAGGTGCCCACGATGGAGGCAAGCTCTTGGTGCCCACCATGGGGAGGTGCTCTTGATGGTGGGATGCTCATGGTGATGGTGATGTGTGGATGCTCACGATAGGCCATGCACGTGGTGCCTGCCACGGGGAGGTGCCTGTGGTGTTCACGATGGGGAGGTGCCCACGATGGGGACATGCCAATGGTGCCTTCTATAGGGAGGTGCTTATGGTCCCCATGACCAGGAGATGCCCAGGATAGGAAGGTGCTTATGGTGTCCGCAGCGTGGAGATGCCCACTGTGGAGGGGGCAGTTATGGTGCCCACAATGGGGAGATGCTCATGTTGGGGTGGTTGCTCATAGTGCCCAAGACAGGGTGTACTCGTGGTGGGGAGGTGGATGCCCACGATGGGGGGATGCCCACGTTTCTCATGCTGTGGATGCTCAGGACAGGTGAGGATGGAGGGGTCTGATGCTACTCACAAAAGTTGGGATTTGGGGGGGGTTCCTTTCCTACAACCCCATCCGGAGGAGATTGAGTGTGTGTTTTTCCCCCGCGCAGATCCTGACCTACCTGGATGGGGTGGTGAAGGTGGAAGAGACGGAGCTGAAGCCCCGCGTGGGGTTCCTGTACCCTGTCCTCAGCCACAACATCTCTGTGTTCATCAACGCCACCCGGGAGCGCGACTCGGGCCAGTACATGTGCACGGTCAACGTGGTAGACGAGGCCTCCAGCATGGGCAAGAACATCGGCGTCATCAACCTCACCGTGCTGGGTAAGGCGCAGCCGGTCACCCCACCTCCCGTTGTCCCCTGCCGTGGAGTCACTTGGGATTCGTGTCCGTGTCCTCAGTGCCACCGGCCACCCCGTCCTGCCAACTGCACGGTGACCCCATGGTGGGAGCCAACGTGACGCTGAGCTGCAGCTCCAGGAAGGGGAAGCCCTCGCCCGTGTACCAGTGGCAGCGCACGGCGCCCACCCTGCAGGTCTTCTTCCCCCCGGCACAGGGTAAGGGGAAACTGGGAGAGGGGGGGAACTGGGGCCTGGAAAATCCCAGGAAGCTTCAGGTTTGTCCATGTAATGCCTGGTCTTGCTGTGGGAGCAGGGAGGGGAATATCCCCTTAACCCTGCCCAGAGTATCTCCTTAACCCTGCCCATTCCCTACAACAAGGGAACACCCCCTTAAACCTGTCCATCACCTAGATCAGGAG